GAATATAAATGTTTTATATTATCATGTGGATTACAATGTACTATCCCTTGATATCTCATACATTATCACTCACTAGATTATCATCAGATTTAATAATTATTTTTAAAATTTTAACCGTAGCACTTTTTTGCTGCTGAAAAACCCTGTAACTGGAATCTGTAAAACTTATAGTACAATAATTTTTTTCTTGTTTCATTTTATCATCAGCTTTTTTTTTCTAGTTATAAAGTTCATAACCTTTTTCATCCATGTATGTAATCATAATGTTGTGTATACTTCTAGTCCGTTACACATTACGCTTATCCCTATACCATTTCAAATAACACTATTTCAATGTTATCTATCTTTTAACTACAGTGATTTTCTACAATCATTATCTTCCCTACCTTTATCCGTGTTATCGGACAACACTGTCGCCGATAAATTGAATACCAAAACTCGAAGTTGGCTCAGCCTAATAGAAAATAGTTATAATAGGTAGGCTAGTTCGTTTTTTTTCGTTGGTTAACTATGTAGTCGATTTTTACTGGTAACCAGTTAGTGCACAGTCTATCTGTTTTTTTTTTAGAAGTAAGTCAATTTAAAAGAGATACAAAGATTCAATTTCAACTGCTTGTTCTTTCTTAATTCTTTCAGAAATGTCAAAGCATAAAATGAAATCTGTTTTAGTTTGTTATTAATCCATAACTGTGTACCAGGCCATTATTTAACCTGCGGTAGATGCCTCTTATCGATCATCTGTACATCTTATTTAAATATTCATCAGTGTCTAACATTAATTAAAAACTATAATGTAGGCAGGCATCTTATAACTGATTGTAACTATGATACTCTCACTGTTCCTAATGCGAAAAAAAGCAATAACAACAACAACAAAGCACAAATTATAATTACACCTCTTTAGTACAATATATATATATATATAATATATGAGCAACTATATATATTTATGAGTTTATTGAAATTCATATAAAACACCCATTATTTTATCTTATTTTTGTTTTGAAAATGAATATTTATTGAAATATGATAATTGTAAATTGAACGAAAGAGAAAGTCTCAACAATTTTTGTATCTGTGACTATTCAGAACTAACAACGGTAAATGAGATGTTCATTAAACTGAACGACTTGTTTTTGAGTAAACGCATCATTACAATATGCGTATGTATGCGTTAAGTGTGAAGCAGAGATATTTTCAAATTGATTTACCAGTTTGGATATAAACAGCGAAAATATAAAATAGAGGGTTTCGCTTCCCTTAATAAAAAGAAAAAAAGAATGTTAATGATATTGTGTTCATTCCATTTCAAAAAAAATGCTTTCCGGTTCCAATAATGAATTGTCGAATAAAATTGGAAAGATAATAATAATAATAATAATCATCTTGAAATCTCTCTTAGGTTTATCTTCGAAACGAAGATATTCAATGAAATAAAATTAAAAACTATGCATAAAAATGCAAACTAATTCTACTTGATAATCATTTCCTGTATACTAATTAAAATGTAAATGCTTAATTCTTATAGAAAATATAAATTTTTATTCAAATTAAAGCAAATATACTATGACTACACTTAATGTTTAATCATACTGTGTGTAAAAATCTAGTCGAATAATTCTCTGAACTCGTTTAGTTTTATTCTTTTTTTTTCTCGATTGTTATAGGCGTGCCAAAGCTCTCGAGGTTCAATCAAATTCGGAAATACTCAGACGAATAAAGTTATCTGATCGGAATTTAAAAGCAAGTTCCAATACATTATTGATAGTAGATAAGCTACTTTTCGTATATGTGAAGTGGTAATTATATGGGTCAAAAAACGTGACTGATATTGTGTTTAGTAGTGTGATACTAAACTCTAGAGTGTCAACGTATAAATTTGATGAGATTCCCTCGATGTCTGTGATCTTTTAGATGTTGGCTAACTTGCCTTATAATCTGCTCTTACCTACTGATTGTCTTCTCACGTGTGTTGGCGTTCTCATTTCAGCTACTCAATTATTTAAGCCAACTTCGTCGATATAATCTTACATTTGCTCATTCTAATAATCGAAGCATTCCTTAGATTAATAACAACTTAAAGAGCTCCGACTAAATTCTCACATTGAGAAGCCTTTTTCGGAACTGAAATAAAAAAAATTGATATTGTGTTTCATGTACTGTAATTATAAATAGGTTACAAATTACTTTGAATAAAATGCAAAAATTCATTGTGTGTCAGAAATTAACAGTGTTTCAATAGCCTTCGTTTAATTTAGCTGAATAGCATTCCGGTAGTCTTTGGGAATTATCGAATTATATGAAGTGTCTCCAAGGAATAATGACAACCTCAACTTGGTCGCTTACTAATTGTGAGAAAAAAACATTTGATTTTATCTCACATATCTGCTTATTTACTCGCCTAATGTACTACTTGTGACCGTCAGCCGTGTTTTAAGTTTTCACTAAAATTGTAATATGTATAATACTCTGATCGTGTGCATATGATTCCTACAAATTGGTAGAAATGTATAATCCGGCTTTGTGTTGTTGATGTCTAAAATATTTTATTGAATTTCTATTTCCATAAAATGTTTCACATCTTTTTCTATGTTACATGAATATCCTACTAACTGAATGTCACTTAAATAATAATATTTCATTATGTTTTTATCTCATCACTCTCTACTCTATTTTATGAGCATTGCTTCATTAAACTTATTAAGTCACTTCTTTATCCTATTTTTTATCTGCATTGATGTTACCACATATATTGGATGTGAAAGATTACAAAAAAAATCATATTTGTGTTGATATACATAATAGGTAGAGTTTTCCAAAAAAAAAACAAAAATCATTAGCTCAGGAAAATTAATTCCTATCATTTGCCTAACTGATTGGATTTTTCAACTGTTTGATTAACTTTTATGCTACCATCATCTGTGCGAAACTGATATCTAAATATTTAATGAATATATATTTGTCGCTTTAAAAGTGAATGCGATAGTTTCGTAAACTTTGATGTTATCTAACTTAGATAAGCCATCAATATTGATTATTTGATTTATCATAAGCCTATTTTACCGTTCCTTGTATTTCAAGAAAGTGACTTATCTTTTTAATTGATGGAATAGAAATATGTTAGTACTAGAGCCCCCTGTGTGAATTTTTTTTACACTATGCAGCCATTTGCCAGCTTAATTGTAGGTATTTGAAACACTATCTAGACGTAGAACATAAATAAATCGGATTTCAACAGATAACCAGTTCAAATATCAGGCGCCGTAAATTACTGTATAAAGAAGTTATCTGTAAATATTTTTTAAGGATTACTGACCATAATCCCGACTGTAACTGGTGCCTTGACGTAGTGGTCGGGATTGCCGATCGTGAGGACCTAACGGTGCTATATTGGCTGGAACATATGTTCGTATGAGTTCTACCGTACCAGGCCGGTCGATTGAAGATCGGTTAGGCTAAAAGCAACAGCTCAAGGTCTGAGGGCGCAATCGTACTGCTGACTGTTGATGGATGAGACAGCATTGAGGTGTTTCCTTCGGACAACTAGCATCTGCAGCGATGCTGCCTTTTGAGAAGGAAGAAAGTTGTCAGAGAAGGTTGACTCTCAAAATAGTAAATGCACCTGCGCCATTGCAAACGGTTTTCAGCCATATGACTCAGGGTCTCTAACCATCGATTATTATCATCTCGCGGACCCCAACCAGGTAGTCGACACCTACAAACATGACTCAGTCAACTTGTCAATGATTTCATGGATTTCTGACATGTTTTTGTCTGACCGCCCCTAGCTTTCATCCAAGCTATTCCTATATTGCGAAACATTGCTCGACGAGGCAGTCGGTGGTTAGGCATTCGTAACACATGTCCCAACCACCTCAACTGATGAAGTTTCATTACTTCATCTATTGACCTTCCATCCTTACCTAGCACCCGTTTCTTAACAACAGCCTTTCTTACTCGGTTGTCCCACGATATACGAGCAATGCTTCTAAGACATCTATGATCGAATACTAGTAACCTACGACTATCTTGTACTCTGACAGGCCACGCTTCACAGCCATGAAGTAGAATGGAGCGAACTACTGCACAGTACATTCGTCCTTTAGTCAGCAAACGGATATCTCATCTACGCCATAAGTGACGCAGGTTGGCAAAAGCCAATCTAAGATTTCGTCAGTCACCAGGCCATCAGCATTGATGAGACTCCCGAGATAAGTGAAGCGCTCGACATGACCAACCACTCTACTCCCTATCACTAGTTCAGGTGCCGATGCAACCCAATCTTGAAGCAAGATTCCGCATTTAAAGGGAAAAGCCGCATCCCGAACTTGCTTACAGTGTTGCTCAGGGTAGTCATAAGACTCTACATTTTGTCAGCGTCTTCACCAAGTGGAACTGTGTCATCGGCATATTCTAATTCAAGCAATCAATCTCCTGGTATAATGTCCTGGAGATAATGTTATGTCTAGAAGCATGTCTATGACAAAGTTGGAGAAGAATGGGGAGAGTGGTTAGAGACCTTGAACTACATGGCTCAAAATCGTTTGCAATCGCGCAAGTGCATCTACTCTTTGAGTTCTCTCTAATTCGCATAATCCCTCATCACCTTTTCTTCCTCTTTCTAAACTTTCTTCACTGGATGATACTTCTTGAACAATTTTTTTGAACCCTAATTTTCTCCATTACCGCTAATACTTTTACTATCGCTTTCACTCTTGGATTTGAGCTGACAGTTGCGTCTCTGTGCTGATGTGGTATGACAACCTGAACTGATGTACTTACGTACGAAGTTCTGCATTGTAACTGACTAACTGGTTGACCATAATGGTGGATTATCTCTGAATTCCTAACAGTACTGTAGCCCATTCATTTATTTCACGACATATCGTTATACAACATTACTTTTAACGGATTCTAATAGTTTTCTGTAATTTTCCGCTTCCATTATCCAGTTAACTCTTGATTTAGGCTCAAAGTTAACTAAGTGTTTCTATGAATTGGCGTATTCTACCCCGGTTAAATCTATTAGAACGAGTTGCTGATGATTGGTGGTCGAAATTTCAGCTGGATGAAAATGATTTCACTGGTTAGTTGTTGTTACACTAAAGTTTGTTTTCGTACTATATAGTTTTATTATTCGGAAGTAGTTTAAAAATTCTTATTCTAACTATCTTGTACTATTCAACCAGAATTGGTCAACGAACCCCAAAAACATCACTGTATGGAATTTTAGGAGCGTCTATTCCTGATCTATTATTTTGAATAATACGTTTGTTCCATAGTCGTTCTACAGTGACAAGGCTAAACGAGCTATTAATGATTGTTTATTCGGAAAACGGTAAATACCTGTGATCAGTGCTTTGTTAAGAAATTTAATTTTTCAATCTTATCTTATCTTTTCTTAGATTCTGAGACACATTTTATTCGCCACATGATATAATATGACAATCTCGTTAAGTTATTATCTACAAAGCATTGAATTTCTAGAGATAGTTAAAGATTCTGAAAGCCTGAACTATTGTGCTCTCATCTCTATTCCAAAGTTGAAATTGACTAACTGGTTAAGAAATAGATAAGTTTCAGTTGATCTCAAGTATCTTCATACGGATTACTGTTTATCCATACATTCACTATTTTAATCCAGTAATTTTGTAGACCTTTTTTATCTAAGAGACGGTTCTTACTTTTGCTGTCCTAAATAATAATTCTCTTGACATCGTTCCGTCGATTCAGGTAAACGTGTCGAATGAACAATTATGTTTCATCTATTCGATATGCCTTTTGAATAGTTTGCGAGCGTTATTTCTCTATTAAACATACTTCAAGAATAGTCAAATGAATCAGCTTTATGTGTAGGAAATATATTCTTCTATCTATCAATCAGTCGCTTAACCAATCAACTTTGACTACAATCGAACAGATATCTGATAGAATTATATTGTTTGTAAAATATGTCAGCTTCTGCTTCGCATTCTACGAGTGATTTCTGTGACTAAGTAGTCCAGTGCATTCCAACAATAAAACCTATATTATATATATATATATATATATATATATATATAATATATATAGCAAATATTGAAACAAAAATAAGTTTGTTTTGTTTATGTCATCTTATTGTGAACTTTTGTTGTTGTTTTTCTCTTGTTCACTTAGGACTATGCAATTATTTACTGAGAAATGCATTTGGTGAACAAATTTTCTACTGTATCACAGAAAAGAATATAACCATCCCATTACAGGTAGAATATTTTTTTAGCATGAACGCTTAACCTGTAATTTCTATTAAGTTTTCCTTGTAAATTTGTTTAAACGTTGACCACGAGAAAGCATTCGATAGTGTGGACAGGACAACACTATGGAGGCTTCTTCGACACCAAATCACACTTGGAAGTCGTAAAAACCTTTACATATCTGGTCAGCATCATCGACAATCAAGTGGATCCTATTCAGATGTGAGGGTGCAGATCGGCAAAGTAATGGCTTCATTTGTATAATTAAAAAACATCTGGAACTCCAAACAACTATTTAATCAACACCAAACTCAGAATTTTCAATACAGGATGTTATGAAAGTTCCGATATATGCGCGGAAACTTGGAGAACTACCAAAGCCATTCATCCAGAAGATACAAGTGTTTATAACAGTTGTCTACGCGAAATACTTCGGATTCGTTGGCCAGACATCGTAAGCAACAGCCTACTGTGGTACAGTACAAACCAGATTCCAACGTGGGGACGAAATCAGGAGGGGGCGCTGAAGGTCGGTAGGACACACATTGAAGAAAGCATCATAACGGCATCACAAGGACAAGCACTCACCTGGACTCCTCTAGGTCAAAGGAAAGAGGAGGGCCAAGAATCACATTACGCTGAGAAACGGAGACAGACACAAGAAGAATGAATAAAAATGGGACAGAGTAGTTTGGAGAATGTTGGTCGGCGGCCTATTCTCTATTGTTGATAACAGGCGTAAGTAAGTAAGAAGGCAAACGCTTATTGTTTATTATTTTCTAAAAGATTTTTATTGGCATTTGTAAAATGTTGTGTATCCATTCGTTTACTACTATTTTTAAGGCGTTATATTTTTCTGTTGTTAAAATCCTTACATGGATCAGAAGCATAGAAACATTTATTAGTTGAAATGTGTGTAACCTAATACTTAGCTCTTTTTTTCTTATTATTTACTAGGTTCGTGATGTTAGTTTCAGCCAACGATTTCGTGAATTAGTGCTTTCTAATTTAACTAACAAATGTATGCTTCAGACCATTCAATGTATGGAAATGGGTCAGTCAGATAACGTTTGAATCTCCTGGCTGTTTGAAAGAAGAATCTTCGTGATCTTATTGAATTAGATAATAAAGATGAATCTCTTTCATTAGAAAAGTGACAGCTCTGCTTCTAAAGGGGAAATATTATCACAACGTTGTACTGTCATAGCTGTTTCGAGCAAGCAGGGCCCACGGGGACAATGATGTTAGTAATTATAATAGTATGATTCCACGTTCGAATTTTCCGGTTGAATCTCATAATTCAATTACTGAAGCATCTGGCGATCCAAACAGTGTTATTGTTTCACCAATTGTATACACCAGTACACATCCAGGTGGATTTGAACCGAATCTAATGAAGCCTTCAGTCATTGATCCAATGTCTCTTATTCACATTGATTTGCCGAAATTCCCTTTATCGGTGTTCGCGCCAAGAACAGTTCGAAATCTTCCGTCTCCTTTAAAGTAAGACCACTATATTCATTTACATATTGCTTATATGCCTAATGCATTATTGGTGCTCAGTATAACTGAAATTATATCTCACTAGTTTACGCAACATATCTTCAGTATTCCAGAATGTAAAGCAGCCAGTAAAATATATCTAGAGTAACTACAGTAGCGGAAAGGCTGAATACTGGTACAAAATGAATGCGTTTCATAAAGTACCACCTCATCTTTAAGATGTAAAATATCGACATACACGATTTTTGGAATCAAAGGTTCGTCTCTCAATATGTCATATTCTGTTTCGAACTCCAGTCAGTTTATAATTGAAAGTATTCTCAGCAAACGACGCACTTCATCGGTCACGTAACAAACCCTTAAAAATATTGGTGTCATTTTAGACAAACTTCATCCATATGAAATATGATTTTCACTATTTCGAATTCCTTCCGTTTCAATCAGCGATCAAGTTATAAATGATCTCAATCAAATTCTTTTTCTAAAAATAAGTTGTTATTCTGCTTAGAAACCGGTTTAATTTATCTGACAAGAAATACGTAGTCGATAGTAATGTTGAAATAGTTGGCATCGATCTGGCTCATCGCAATCATTGATAGCTTTTCTATAACTTGTAATCAAGCTTTAAATGTTTACTAGGACAATTAGTTATCTAGCATCTTTGGGAGATCGATACTTAGGATTAGTTTTTTACTGGAAGTAAAAATTAGATGACATTCTAAGCTAATTTTATTACTTGATCTAAACACATCCTTTATCTAGAAAGAGTGAGAGAGTGAGTGAAGGTTCAATATTGACAAACTTTTAAACATGTGCTCTGGAAGAGCAATGATCAAGCCTCTTAGTCTTACAAGGCTTGTCATACAAAACAAAAGTGAATTGAGGTCATTTAGTGAAGAAAGTGAACTGAAGATTGATTATTCAATGATAATGAATAAGGAATATTTTGTTTTTTAAATAACCTTTAACATAAAAACTGAATTAATCTTTACAAAACCTTTGCGTGTCAATGAATCGTGTTTTAATTTATTACGTTGTTCACATTTTTTCAATAACCTACAAACAGATATGATTCTTTTTTCTATTATTTACTCTGACTATTTTTCCTTTTACATGTGCTCACTTCTACAATGGTGAAATTCAATTTACTTGAACGTTTGTAGGATTATTTTTATTAGATATGAAGGCGAATCACATAACTGGTCTTTCTATCCGAAATTAAAATATATTTGACTACACTTAGTTTCGTGTTTATTGCTTGCCATCAAATGAATATGTATTTCAGAATTAGGCTAAATGATTTAGAGGTTTTGTACGTCTATTAGTGATCCAGAATATATCCGACATCCTTCTGAGTTAAAGTCGGTATTCCTTATCAGTTTTCATATTTTACCTAGCTATCAAATTTACTTGGAATCATATATAAATTAATATTCATGGGATTCCGTCAACGTAATGACTAATTTGAAATAATAGCTCATTAACATGCATAGTCTTTGTTATCTAACTGATGAGACTACTGGACACTTTTTAAATTATTTTTCAGTCATAAATTTGTTATTTTTGTCAATATAATTTATCTTTGACCTTGATATTTTTGTTTTTATTGTCGGTAAAAACGTTATCCACAGATCTTGCTCTAGACAAAACTTGTCATTTGTCGATAAATGTACTTGCAATAACACATCAAGTCAATGTTCTTGTGTCTTATTGACAAAAACCGATTTAGAAACTGATTTTCGTAAACGTCTAGCTGAAACATGGTCTGATCGATCGTTCGATGAACTAGATGATTCCTTAGAATCTTATCCATTAATGCAACGTAATGGAGCAAGACAGTCTTATCATCATGTGTATTCAACAGCTAAACGTCTTTTATCCGGTTGGACAATATTCACTTTAGGCGACAATGCTGCTAGTGTGGATGATGTTCATGCCAATGAAAATGATATCGATGAAAATCGGGATTTACGTGATAATATTCGATCTTTGTTAAGATTTGAAAATGAAGAAAATCAATGGTGCTATTGCTGTGACCATTTGTCTACAAGCAGTGCGGCTAGAATGTCTAATGTTGACAAATCTATCTTGTCCTTTCAGAATGTTATTCACCATATAGGTCGAGTCTATCATCCATGTATTATTACATTGCTTATGCACTCCAGGTAAATCAAATCAATATTTTTTTAATTTTGTTTACAAGTGTTCACTTTTAATTTTATATAAAGTTGTTATCGACTGTCGATTAGTTCGTTTGTAATTGCTAGTAGGACCGTTAACTTGTTTACCGAACAATGCACCCAACAGTGATCACAGCTAACTCTTTAACACTTAAGTCACGGATCTTCTGATCCAGTGTCCAGTCAAAGGATTTTTTAGGTTAGTCTTAAATATGAAACCTTCCACGAATATTCACCGAAATGACAAGATATCTATTCTGAAAAAAGTTTATGAGACAAGTTCTGCATCAGACATTTGCAAAGTTAACTGAAACGTTTATAAAGCAAACGTTTATGAAAATCAACTCAACATTATCTGTGGCTTACGGTTTATTCCATATGGTCTAGATCAACCATGAAGTATATTCTATAGATATAAACCTTATTTTGCGCGCACTTGACTAGTCTTTCATTTATTGTCGTTTCCATTTAAGTTTGTTTTGTGTGAAGTCTGTTTTCTATGATGACTTGGATGCCATTGGAATGTGGATAAATCAAATGGATTGATCTGTTAACATTTGTTAGGTCGATCAATTCCAACACTGCGTAGTATGTTTTATCTATAAGTTTTGAATTATGAACAAATCAAAAAGTGTCCAGCGCAACTGACGATTTACGCTATAAATCTTTTCGGGTACATAAAACATAGGTTACTCGAATGAATATCGTCCATCGGTTTTTGTTTCAGTCAACTAACAACTAATTACCATTTTCTCACTGAGTTACCTAATATTTTATTTGTCTAAATATTCTCATTGAAAGTTGCATTTATATTGCCTAAACTGAATAAAGCCTAACGTTTCAGCTCATTTGTAGTCTAAAGTTATATTCATTGATATTGATTTTCAAATGATCGTTTTTACACCACTCAGACAGGTTTTTATTAAACCTTGCTTCCATACCACAGTAACTTCAATAAGACGATCAAATATGCTTATCTTCATCTTCACTAGAAATTAATGTATATATACATATATATATATATATATATATATATACAAAGCTTAGTACGTTTAGGAGAAAGTTGAAGAAACGCTCAATGATATTTGTCTCTGTAAATGCATTTATTTTCACCGAATGCGTAGTTTGTATTTTGTATGCTGATTTTATATTATCACAGCATATAAATTAAACTTTATTTTGTAGTAATGATAACTCTATCTATTTATTCACTTGTTTGACTGAGTTTTTGACTTGTCGCACAACATCGTGCTTATCTGCCATACCATAAATCATAATTGCTAATTAAAGCAAAAACTACCGCATTGTTGTGATTTTTGGTTGTATTGTTTTACGTTTTTTGTTAATGTGCAGTTTACCCTTCTGAAAATCCTTTTCTCCTACTAACTCACTTTAGATCAAATTATTCAGTCAATCTGGTTTCAGTAATTATTATTTGCATAAAATTGTTCACTAATAATGATTATTAGGCATTCAGTAAATGTATTTGGTTTTTTTTTTGTGTGTAACTTATCTACATCAATTGTTGGTTGTGAGTAGATAAAAGTTATAACAAAAAAAAATAACTCATCATTGATTGACTTAAGGAAAATTAGTTAATAGTTCTTTGGATGAACCTTAAATGTTCTGAATATTTTTAGTTAGCCTGTGAGTATCATTTAACTATGGGTTCATATTTTAAATATATCATCAAGGTGATTGTTTCCGTGAAATAAATACACAAATGAACTGATCAGCTAATAAATGTAGATTTGATTTTTAACTGTTTCATCAATATGTTTTCACAGTATCTAATTACAAAATGCAGTTCTGTTACATAAGCCCGACCATAGCTGCTACCTAGACGTGGTGGTCGGGCTTGCCTATCGTGATGACCCAACCGAGCTATATTGGCTGGATCATATGTTCATTTAGATCATACCATTCCAGTTAGGTCGATTGAAGAACGGTAAAACTAAAAGTAGTGACTGAAGCTCAGAGAGCGAAATCAAACTGCTGACTGTAGATTGCTGTAGCAACAGTGAGGTGTTTCCCTCAGACAACCAACATATAAAGTGATGCTGCCTTCTTACAAAAAAGGAAGCGGTTGGAGAAGTTCGACACTAGAAATGTCACATCTCACCAATTTTCACTTGAAAAGAGTAACTAGCACCTTAAAAACTTTCCAAAAAATGACTGTGCTTGATCGATCATTAACAGTTGTCTCTTAAGCTCCCAAGACCAACGCTTATCTACCTTCTTTTTCAGGTTTCTTAAGATACATCCTCCCTTTGTGTGAGCAGCTGGAAAGTGACATCCACCCTCATACCTGTAAAAGCGCACGATACCAAATCGGTCGCAATCAAATCCTTTCTACACCTACCAACTCTCTATTATCTTCACGAATGACCGTTTTCGATTTCGTTCATCACTTCGTGCCGGTAATGTGAACGATCCGAGTTCACAAAATGTTTTTTTCTGTTTTCCAGAAACACCTCTCCTTTATACCTTACTGCAGTATATAGTCGCTTATTTTCTATCCGACTGAACGTAACAGTAAGGACTCGATAAAACATGGGCATTCGCCGTCACGGTTGTTCACTATCTCCATTCTTCTTTAACTTTTTCATAGCCTTGCTTTTAGACAATATTATCTTCGTCTGACTTTTCAGGGGTGAACCTTCTCCCAGGAGGACTCCCTATAGAATATGCAAATGACATAGCTATATTTTTATGAAGAATGTGACAAAATTCGGTCTTCCGACCCTTCTAAGCAACAATGCATGCATATTCGGGACGTGGTTCCCCCGTCGAAATGCAAAATGTTGCTTCAGGATTGGC